CTTCCCGCCTTGCTTGGAGTGAAACGCTTTCAAAAAAGAAATCTTTGTCCTTCAAATATTAACCTCACATGATATTCCCTTCCGGCACACATATGAGACGTACTGCACCGTCTGCGAACCATTGTTGGAAGTGGATTATTATTATTATTATTATTATTATTCTGTTTGCAAAATAAAGGATTGCCGAATTGGAGTCATTTGAAGACCTAGATATCATAGATTTTAACGTCTGATAAATTATAATACACAACCTAGCCGACATCATTCGGCTTTTATTTTTATATTTTTACCGTTGCCGATTTTATATACATTACACGGTAAGAGTTTCTGCTTGCTTCCGACCATAACACGATAAAACACCGGTTCCCTTGCGATTGCCGAGGTTAGGCAACGTCGAGTCTGCTCAGTTCCTAGAAGGGTAAGCGCTTTGGAATACCAGCTACTGTATTCTTTTAAGTGTTGTTCGTGTAATATCGCAGGATTCTTAATAGGAGATCCGAGTTCGAATTCTTGTTTGGTACGTTATATTTACTTACGCGCAAATACCCTTAGAAAGTGTATAAATCCAAAACATCCCCACCAGCTATGAATAAAATGAAAAAAAATAATAACCCCCATCGACACTAAATATTTCTGGTTTCAAAATAACCAGCAATATATAGATAAACCTTAGAAAACAAATCAACCAATCAAATTTCTTCTTTCTGTAAATATGTAAGAATCCAAATCGTAAGAAAAATGTAAAAAGGAACATGGTTTGGTTTGGTTTAGTTTGGTTTGGTTTACGGCATATCGACTTCAATGGGTTATTTAATGCCGACAAAATTTTCAATGTTGGTATTATTTTTTTCAAAAATCTATTTCTGGTAACATTTTTTCCTTCAAATATCTATTTCTGGTAATAAATTTCCTTCGCTGGTAATATTTTTTTTCAAAAAATACATAACTGCTAATAATTTTTACAAAGTATTTCTGGTATTATTTTTACACTTTCATAGTGTTTTGACTCTAGTTTTGGGGCTAACTATTTGCCCATATCTGGGACCTTAATAGTTGTTACCACCCCGGGTCAGACCGGACCTGGAAACACCAGTAATTAAGAGGTGGTTCCACGTTCCTCAAAACCTCCTAATCAGAGGCCTTGCTGTTGGACGTAGTTTATTGTGTTACCCAGGGCTCGGATGTACTTTATTTTCATACCCAGGATTAAATAGGAGCCTGGAGTTTATTTGTAAATCATATATATATATATATATATATATATATATATATATATATATATATATATATATATATATATATATATGTGATAGGATAAGGAACAAACAAATTGCAGACGTTTATACAAGTGAAATGTCTTTTATTAAAACATTATTAGAAAAGGAAATGTGGAATAGAAAATAAAATTTCGTTATATTTATTTATGTTTGGTTTGTCTTTCATTGGTCCAACAGACTTCACATGCATCTGCCCTGTCAAGCTGCGTTCGCTTGTAAAACTCACGTGTGTAAGTGTATCATAATTCTAGGTTATCTAAGCTGGTTTCAGATAATAACTTGTATTCGTTTGTGGGGCGAGAAGCTGAGAAAATTTGCTTGGGAGAAAATGGAAAGTAGGAACGAGGTTGAAGAAGACACATGAGGACGATTGAAGGCGTATTTATTTTTTTTTATAACTGGCAGTAAAGCAGGATGCTGAAAGGGATTCTCACATCAATATTATAAGATTTAAAATGCATACTAGAATAGAGAATTCGAGAAAATGTAAAAAAAACAAGATTTATTCACAGCTACAATGTAAAGGAAGATTTGGGAAGCCATGATCGGCTACGCACTAAAGCAGGGGTTCTTAACCGGGGTTATCCATACCACTTGTGGGTATGGGAACCAAATGCTGGTGGTATGGGCCTCGATTTCTGGGTACTGGTAGTTCTCCATTCCCCCGTGTTATGTTTGACAGTTTTTCATTTTTCCTTTCACAGATTTGGTGCAAAATGTCTTCAGAAGATATTTTGCACCCAAAAACGGAAGTGGAATTATTCATATGCATTTCATATCTAAAGTACAGTAAATTCAAGCGATTGAAATATTTGGAAGACATACTGGAAAATAATAGGATTGGTGATAATTATTTCGACAGTCAAGTGAAGTGGGTATGGTACCATATTGGATAATCCATTGTGGGGTCTTGAATAATGAAATGGTGAAGGACCCCTGGACTAAAGGGACACAGCACAAGAAGAGTAAGAATATCTCAAAAAGTGACGAACACTGTGACCAGTTAGGGTTGTAGGGGGCGCAATAATGTGCTGCACCCGTTGTAGCAAAAGTGTTTGTAGTGCAAGATAACCTGACGAAGCCCGTCCTCACTTCAGGATTTTTTGTGTTTTTTTTTAATTCAGTGTTAATCTTCTAGACTGTTTCCAAATTAACTTAAGGAAACCCAGTCATTAGGCCTACTAAAAACATAACCGGGGGAGGTTTATATGTATAGTGCTTAAAATAGCACACTTAATGAAAATGTATCTAAATTTGCGAGAAATTAACTAATTTCTGGTTCAGTTATTAACAATTCTTTTTTTTTTTAAATTTTTCTATACTTTGATACAATATCTCGATTTCATTTTTGTTGATGAAAGTGTTGTATTTGCGGTATATATGGCAGTTAGGTCCGACTTTAAGTAAATTTTTTATTCTTAGTTAAGTTATGTTTCGAAATATTCTTAATCCATTTTGTTCGGAAGATAATTTCTTGATATAGAATATTCAGTAGTTTTTTGTTTGTTTTTTTGTTTATTTTTGTACTTTTTAGCTTGTGCTGAAAACAACTGATCCGAAAATTCGGGACATTCTCAAGGCTGGGACCATAAAAGATAAAAATGATAAACGGAATACTTGTCTACTCTTCTAACTAAACGATTAAAAATCCCTTCCAAGGAATTACGTAAACATCCCGATATAATCGTCAAGAAATGAGACAAAACAAACATCTTTGTAGTTTTAAACAAATCTGATTTAATACTGTTGTAACCTAAGGAAGGTTACTGAATAGAATAATCACACTAACGTTGGTTATGAAAGATAATACTTAGGACAAGAACAACACATATAAAATTCGCCTACAGCGCGTAGAAGAAGTAGTCACCTGCTATAACTGAGTCAAGTGAATTCCACAATGAATCTGTGCAGGATATTTGCCAACCGACCCACGTGGTCAGAGGTGGCAAAAGGCGAAATTTAATGTGGGGTGATCAGAGCCCGTAGGAGCGGCCAAATATTCCCCGTAGACCCCATATAAAACGGGGTCGGGAAACTGTTTCCTCAGACAAGACTCTGCCCTTCAATATAATCTCGTCTGAGGATCCTCTCTGCCCGGAGGCAGATAGTTTGACCAGCACAGCTGGAGACGAATAACCAACCGCAGGATATCTACCAACCTCCCCATGCAGTCAGATGTGGCACAAGGCCGTATTTAATGTGGGGTATCCGATCCCGTAGGCTCGTCCAAAAAATCCCAGTAGACTCCGTACAAAATAGGGTCAGGTAAGCTGTTTCCCGAGACGAGATTCTGCCATTCGACAGAGCCTTATCTGGGGATCCTCTCTGCCTGGAGTCAGATTTTAACCAGCAGATTTAGAGGCGAAACTCAGACTGCAAACCAACAAGCAGTATTTACTACTCTTTTTATGTGAATGGGGACATACATATGCTACAACAAATACAAAGATAGAAACATTTTACTCGCGTTGCACGTTGCCATTTTACGGGCGTTGTTTGCATACGTTCGCTGCAGAATAGCGATCAGTGCAGGTATCATTGCGCAAACTGAGCGTGTTTACGTAAATAGTTCTCGTGCGCAGTAATTGTGACAAATTGAGACAAGAAAGATCGATTTCGAGCTTAGCTTTCCGTAGACTTCCACGCTTTGCTTTCCGCGGTGAATGTATGCAAACAACGCGAGTAATGGTTGCCGCTAACGACGCGACTGAATCCCAAATTTCATTGTCGATAACTCCAAAACGGTACATTTTATCAAATATATCAAGCCAGATTCGAATGGAGCATGTACAGTTACACATCGATATAAGTATTTTGGAACCTTTTAATGCGAACTAGACCCGGGTGTTACACTGCAAATTAATAAAATAAGATTAATTATATACTATACTAAATTTAATAGAACTAACTTTATCATCCTTAATAATTCCTACCCTTCAATTGGCCTATTGCAGAAAACTTGTAGCTTATATTACGTTTCAAAATAACAAATCATCTTAAGCAGACTAGACATCACACCGAGTTTAAATCTTCCACAATAGTGTCTCCTTTTGGATTGTTAATAGTGGATTTATGTGTGAACGACTACAATTTGTGTATATATTCAAGTATTGACATGACTAACGTTATGCCTAAAGTCAAGTTGAAATTAATCACTGCTAACCCCTAACACTTAAGTATCACCACGACAAATTTTACGTAAATTCTCACTTATAAACACGGCCATACTTTACATAGAGTTTCATCTACGCTCTTGACTAATAAATAAACAACGATTCAACTATATTCATAAAAAACTTGACCTAAATTTTAAAGTAGTAACCTTAGTAAACCTTTCCACCAAACTCATCTATAGTCCCGAATAGTATTTAGATAACGGTTCATGTATAAATAAGTGGAAAACTTACTTAAAGTCTCAAGTATAGACACAGTTAAATTTACCTCTAGACTAATGTACAATCCGGACTATCATTTGTATATCTCAAGTATAAACAAAACCACATTTTCCTAAAGTCTCTAGTAGAAACATCGACACACTTTATCTCTAGACCCATGTATAAACCGGACTAATATTTCCATAATGTCTCAAATATAAACAAAACCAAATTTTGATAAAGTCTAAAGTAGAAGCACCGGCAAACTTTATCTGTAGACGCAAGTATAAACAAACTTTTCTGTAGACGCAAATACCAAAATATTTTCATAAATTTATAAAACAAATCAATGTCTCAAGCAAATGTTTACATACTGTCTCAAGTATAAACTCAAATCTCAAGTACAAGCGCCAGCAAACTTTAACTTTAGACTTATGTATAATACCAACTAATATTTTCATAATGTCTCAAGTATTTACAAAACCAAATTTATTTAATATCTCAAGTAGAAAGACCAGCAAACTTTAACTTTAGACTTATGTATAATACCAATTAATATTTTCATAATGTCTCAAGTATTTACAAAACCAAATTTACCTAATGTCTCAAGTAGAAAGACCAGCAAACTTTACTTCTAGAATCATGCATAAACCCGAGAAATATTTACATATTAACCCAAGTATAATCATTACCATTCTTACGTTAAGTATCAATTATGATTACAGCCAATTTTTAACCGGAGACTCAAGTATAAATTCGACCATTAACTCAATAAAAATAGAATATTTTCTATGCAAGATACTAAAAAAAAAAAATATATCAACCTCCATCCTCCATAATATCGATGTTTTTTTTTTTTTTGCAATTACGACGACTTAGCTTAAATGGGAGAACATGAGTTGTCACGGATAATCATGCAGCACCAAAATAAATGGAACACAAGCAACAAAAATTAAAGAACAAGTATAAAAAAAAATGAGACAATACGCTCATTTTATTTTTAGTTTCGTTTAATTTTGCTTTCTGTTACATTTGTTGTCACCAAATTATTGTTTCGATTTAACTGAAGCTGTTCTTTGACGCTTTGAAGTGTACCGTGCCGATAATGTTCCGTCACACGACACAGACACTTCATGTCCCTTTGGATAAACTTTTCATCACTTTACAGTCACACTTATAGAAATTAAGTTGGGTTCGCTCTGCGGTTATTTTTTGAATACCACAATGTGATAATTGCTGCGAATACTAAACTCTTTATAAAGATCTTATAACGCTTACATCGTATATTTCCCCTCTGTATGTAATTCCCAAATCTCATCGTCGATTGCTTCTAATACTATTACTACTAATACTCGCTTTTTCACTTTTCTTCATTCAAGTTAGTTTCTTTCATTTTTTTTATCCTGCTACATTTTCTTTATGCCGACGTCTTTTTTTTTCCTGCCTAGACAATTTTCCTTCACGCTAACTTGCTTAGTTTCTTTGTTTGTTTGTTTCTTTGTTTGTTTGTTTCTTTGTTTCTTTCTTTCTTTCATTCTTTCCTTTTTTCTTCTTCTCGAACTATTTCTTTTCGTTCTTAGATTTTTCTTCATTGGAACTAATCAGCCCAGTTTCTTTCTTTCATTTTACTTTCTTCTTTTTCTTATATCGATTTTTTTTTTCTTTCCTTCTTAGAATTTTATTCCTTCAGAATAATTTGCTCAATTTCTTTCTTCTTCTTTTCGTTCTTGAACTTTTCTTCATTCAAATTAAGCTGACCAGTTTCTTTCCATTTTTCCTTTTCCTCCCTAGTCTTTCTTTCCTTCAAACTAACTTGTTCACTTTCTTTCTTTCTTTTTCCTTCCTTCCTTCTTTCTTTCTCTTCTACAGCTTTTGCACTTTTTCTTTTGTTTTTAATATTCAAACTAGCTTGATCAATCTTTCTTTCATTTCGTTCTAATACTTTTCTATATTCAAACGAAATTGATCACTTTTACTCGTTTCATCTTTTTCGTTTCCCCCCCCTCCTTTTCTTCTCCTCCTCCTTCTTCTTAAAATTGTTAAAAGTTCCATGGTAGTTGTGGTACTAGAAAGACATATACTATACTTCAGTGGAAGAAACAAACAAACGACACAAGGAGACTATAACTGGTGATTTCCTCCACTATTCGTTACTCTGTACAAGGCCCAAGAACCATTCGAATTAGAGAGCTACAGAATATGCGATAAATGTTTTCGGTTTACGAAAATATGAGATGAAAAAAATCCTAGACCTGACAGTTTAATATTATAGCGATCGGGGAAGCATCCACTTGGGAGTCGTATTCAAGAAATAGAATTTCGTGGGAAAAGCTCTTCGTGTGGAACTGATATATCAACAAATGTATACGAAGAGAATGAGGGTGGTTCGCTAAAATCTCTGTCGCTTTGCACGTCATATTTCAAATGTCCAACTTTCCAAAGTAACCGTGAATGTCAACAAAGGAATAGTAACTATCACACAAGTACCACATTGGTTCTTGAAAATGACTTATATGCTCAAAGAAAAAAATCACAGAGAATGAATTTCGGAGACAATTTCCTCATAATGCTGCACACCTAATCCGAAATGTGGAAAAGTACTATAAAATTAGTATAAAAATTTACAATAAAAAAATTACAATAAAAAATTACAATAAAAAATACAATAAAAGTAGAATAAAACATTACAAGAAAAATTACAAGAAAAGTACGACAAAAATTACAAGAATAATTACAAGAAAGTACGATAAAAATTATAAGAAAAATTACAGGAAAAGTACGATAAAAATTACAAGAAAAATTACAAGAAAATTACAAGAAAGTACGATAAAAATTACAAGAAAAGTACGATAAAAATTACAAGAAAAATTACAAGAAATACGATAAAAATTATAAGAAAAGTACGATAAAAATTACAAGAAAAATTACAAGATAGTACGATAAAAATTATAAGAAAAATTACAGGAAAAGTACGACAAAAATTACAAGAAAAGTACGATAAAACTTACAAGAAAAATTACAAGTACGATAAAAATTACAAGAAAAGTACAATAAAACTTTAAAAAAATTAAATAGACATATCTTTTTAGTTCGTAAACTTTTTTAAGTTATTAATCTTCAAAATTTCATAACGGAAATATATCTGTCGTTATTTAATTAAAATGAAAAGCACGTTTGAAGTAAAAGACAAACGGCTACAGAGAACATCTAATTATTGCATTGATGGCTGAAATATTTTTATCTACCATATATACTCGTGTATAAGGCTACTTCATATCTAGAGCGACCCCAATTTTTTTTTCTTTGAAAAACCTGATTGCTTCGTATAGCTTGTGTATAATGAGCAATAACAGTAGGTCTACTGTAGTAAATTATTGTAGCACTGAACATGTCAAGTCCATCAAGCACTGAACATCACCCTGGACGTATTTTATAGCAAATAAATGGCCTTCGCTCTTTCTTTTTTTTTAATATAAAGCTATCCATAAATGGCGAGAAGATCTGCTTACCATAAAGTATCTGATACGAAGAATTAGATCCCGAAATTGTGTTTTCGTTCATGTCTGTCTACGGTAGCTCCTCTATCATGGGTCTGCCTTGTACGTAGTTTAAGTTTTTTTTTTTCTATTTTGTTTGCTACATAAAGCGCAAAAATCTTAGCCACAGTGTAGGACACTTAAAATTAACTAATAGTTTATATAAATATAGTGCAGCTGATCCTGAAAAAAATGCATGATTTTTAACCTTTTCAAAAATATTACTTGTGTTTATTGATACACCATTTTGGTGTTAAAAAGAACACATCCTATAAACCTTTAATGTACTCGATTATATACGGTACCTGGACGCTTAGCTTAAACGTTTTCACCTCTTGCAGGTGCTACAGGGGCTTCAGGATATTAACAAGGCAGTGAGCCGTTTCGTCAAGCAAATATATTGCTTCATTGCTTTACGATTGCAGACTAACAAAAATTTAATATTAACGCTCAAGTTTTCGAAATTATATTAATCGGCAGGTCCAATTTCCAGTCTGTCAACTACACTCATTTTCTGAGCTCACTTTTCTGAACACAGACATCAGCTCAGGCAGACATTTTCGTTTCATCAACACCCACAGAGCCCATCTGATTTTGAAACTGCAGCTAAACTGAAACGGTCTTGGTTACAGTTTTTGAGAGATGACATAACTGCGAATGACCATCAATTCCTCAAAAACTGAAATTCTCATTGCTCTTTTTCTTGAAATCATGAGAAAACTTTAGCTGTAAAAAAAAAGAAAAAAATATTTACTAAAATATAATAAACTGATTTTGATGGATTTGACATGTTCTGTGACTTTGTTAATTTAGCATTCACTATTCACATTATATTATTTTTAATGATTTCGCCCTTAGCAAGGCAATAAAGCCATTAAGATGCAAGGGGTTACTGAGTATTAGAGAATATGAGAAAAAATATAAAGGCGAGAGGACAATGAAAGAACAATAATTAAGAAGACAAAAGGTAACGATTGACATTACATTTAAACTTTTGAAGATCAAAGTTAACTGGAAAGCAAGAATCCGGAAGAGAGTTCCAAAAGCGAGAAGTGCAAGGTAATAAACTCTTTGCATATAAATTACGGTTAAATATAGCCATTTTAACAGTACAATTATGAGACCTTGCAGCCAATCCAGTACTGCGCTTCACTTCATAAAATCTAGGTACCAGAGAGGAAAGTTCATCAGTATTCATGGAAATGGGCAGGGAAGCTATGTCATGGTGTTGGGAAAGGTACCCCTTCCGCGATCCCTAACATTACGCATTCATCTTTGGATTCTATCAAGAATATATATTTGGAGTGCCAGACCAGATTTGACAGGAATATTCAAAGAAGGGACAAATGGTCGACTTATAAATATTATAACATAGATTCTGGCGATTAAATCGTCTAAATTCTGCTAATTTACAATTCAGTATGTTTTCAGAGTCTGTCTATATTTCTGAGATGAGGTATTATGCACATTATTTATATTATTCGGACTATTGTCCTCATCTATTTTGCCATATCTATCACAACGTTTCGGCCACTGTGCCATGTGTCCTTCAGACACATGGCACTGTGGATAAAGGCGTTGGTTAGATCCAGTGACAGGACCCAAAGAGTGTGAGTTCAATACCCGTTTAAGGCAGTGGAGAACTTTCAGAGGGAAATTAACATAAGATAACTGATAACCGACATCCATTAAACATGGCACGTGGGACTAGAACAGTCTAGCCCGGTGAGCGAAATAAAGGGTTCAGTTCGACATTCCAACCACCTGAAGACGGCCGGAGCGTACAACGGCCGAAACGTTGTGATAGATATGGCGAAAAATATGAGGACAATAGTCCGAATAATGTAAATAATGTCAGTATGTTTTCTTTAAACTAGAATATATTTAAATACTCACATTATTCTGAATTGTTGAATTTATCGCTATTTTTGTCGAGATTTACAAACTGTACGTTTCATTCAGTTTCGAAAAACAACCTATGAATTATAAAAACTTCAAGAGAAGATTATATAAAAATATAAAAAATAATATTAAGCTTTACTCTTTATTGATCCTTTTTTTTAAAAAAAAAAGTAAATGCTACAGAGAATAAAATCCAACTCCATTTGTTCTTATCCCATACCAGGATATATATATATATATATATATATATATATATATATATATATATATATATATATATATTGAACAATAAAAAAAATATTAAAAAATTAAAATCTTCAGACACACTGGGTTGTAGATTAATATTCTTTGGTTTTTATTATTATTTCATTTAGATTCCTCGACTTGTTTCGTCCAAAATGGCCATCATCGGGAGAAGAAATATTTCTGCTTGCTGGTAGCAGTAAACTATAGAAGTGAATGTCTTGATGGAGAAAATGAACTTGTTTTTTTGTTTTTTTTTATCTTTTTAACATGAATCTTTTAACATTCCTTGTGTTGGTCAAACAAACTCTTTTAATTTGTTATTTGAGATAAGAGTTGGATGGATCTATGCTTCTCTGAATTCCCTTGGTCAGTTTGACAGTTTTATATATATATATATATATATATATATATATATATATATATATATATATATATATATATATATATATATATATATATATATATATATATATATAAAGAAGTATGACAAAGACGAATAATATGTCCTGTTACTCATTTCTGCCTTTTAGGACTTCATCAGACTAAGTATAAACATATATTTTTTCATACATAATTTGCGCCGATTTCATTCTGATTTCACTTCTGTTTGCGTTTCCATCATTTTTCTTAATAATTATTCCGAAATATTTGAAATGTTGTAAGAACTTAGACGTAAATTTACTTTGGATGATCATCGCGATTAATCTATTTTCTAAACATTTTCCTCTTAGTAAATTAGTTTCTCTTTTAATTAGATTAGAATTTTTAAATTGAAATCCTGTTCTGACTCATTATTTTGAGCAGCGAATGCATTTAATGTGTGGTTTTGTTTAAGATCCTTTTTGTTTTCAGCTAATCTATTATTTAAATTATTTAAGGTTTCTTCTGTTGTATTCCTTGTGGCAATTATTACAGATAATCCAAGTTTTAGCTTATTATTTTGTTTTGTATTGCGATAAATTTTTTGTTGATTTCAGATAAATTCCTATTCAAATGGAAACATGATAGAGCTGATCGGTATAACAATATATTTTGATTCATTATAATTTTCAATAAGGAACGTTTTTCTATCTTATGAACCTTTTGTTTCGCTTTGAATATGAAATAGTGAGGGTATTGGAGGAGTGTGAAAGTATTTTCAATGTATTCCTCCTCTTGATGTAAATTCTGAGAACCATGAATTTGAATCCGATGATGTGAATATAATTTTATTAGTTCATTCATATATATATATATATATATATATATATATTTT